TGTGAAGGCATCTGCTGAAAGGGAGGCCCAGGCAGGTTCTGGAGGCTTGTGGTGGGGAGGGGGAGAGGCTGCGACAGCTGCTGGGGTGAAACCGGTAGGGAAGCAACCAGGGATAAATACGGATGGCCCAGCTGATGGCCTGAATTTGTGGTGCCTGTAAACAGCCTGCTTGTGAGATTATTTCCAGCAACCCTGGAAAGGGGGTGGAGAAAACAGATGGTTGTGTGAAATCCGGGTTGAAAACTGGCAAAGATAATGTAGTAAAAGGTCTAGACTAGGCCCAGAGGCTTGTCGGGGAGGAAGAAATTTCCCTCTACCTTTCTAGGTTCTTCTGGCTGGCCTAAGAATTAAATTACATGAGACAGATTGACAAGAGAAATCAAACAAAAGTTGAGTAATATGCACACACAGGAGAGATCCAGAACTGAGTAACTCACTACAATGACCGAAACCCTCACTTTAAATACCATCTTCAGCTAAAGACAGAAGAGGATGTTGGGGATAGGGATCCGGGACTTCAAAGGGGTGGAAGGCAATTGACATGAAGATGGAAAAGCAAATGTTTGGTAAATAAATGTCTGAGGGCCAGGCAGAGACAATGGGACAGAGAGTGGACTCTGATCTCTAAGAGTTCCCCCCAACATTAGCCCACATTCTTTTCAGATATCTCTGGTGATAGCTCTATTCCAGGCGCAGGCCCTCTATATAAATTCTTTCTGGGCAGTTAAGAGAAAGGTCAAAGTTTCTCCCTGAGTCTTTGGGGCCTTGATTGTTTTCAGCCCCAAATAATCCTCATACCAAAGAGACAATCTGGGGCCGAAAGTTTTGCTCTCTTAGAGGATCTTAAGTATACGAGAAAGCATTGTTAAGTTTTCTAAGAATAATGTCTTATTTTTTTCTCATAAATGACCATATTTTCTGAATTATGTTAATGCTTTAACAACCAGTTTTCAGGTAGAGAAAGAAACACTATATCATGTATTCACATTGGAAGTAAGAAACACACCAAACTTGGAAACGCTAAGATGGGGTTGGTGGGCTCCATATGGTTTTTGAAATTTCAGTGGATCTTATTGGGATCCAGATTCAAAGGAACAATCTAAAAGGGAAAATTAGGAGGCAGTTGAAAATTTGAACACTTAGTAAATGATTGATGATATAAAGATTTATTGTTATTTCATTTAAGGTATGATAATAATGATTTCATAATAGTCATGATAAAAAAGTTATTACCTTTTAGAGAAACATGCTGAAATATTTATGAATGAAATATAAAATCATATGACGTCAGGGAGTAGGGCTAAGGGGATGTTCCACTGAGTGACTTGACATGGAAAACAGTGTAATTGAAACTGGATGGTGATCTGGGTTCGTTTTTTTTTCCTGCCTACTTTTTTATATCTTTAAATTTTTCCACAATAAAACAGTAACAGGAAAAGAAACAATAAGATGTTTCAAAACTCTCCCTGAGCGCCTGACTGAATAGCGGAGGTGCAGTGAGCAAGGAGGCACCTGTCTATTGACCGGCAGGCAGTGAACTGGGAGGGCTGAGGGCTGTTCTCCGCTAGAGATGGCAGGAACAACAGACAGTGGAGGAGACTGAATTTTCATGTGATTATGCTGCGATGCCCAAATGGCACGGAAGGAGAATGGCCCTGGAGTGGCAGGGGGTGGTGGGTGCACAGAGTGACAGGTATGGGCCCCTGTGAGAAGCCTCGTGGTGCTGGGAAGCCTTGGTCACCCATGTCGAGACCTGGCTCTGAATGTGCACAGCTCATCAACCAGTTCCCTCTCATCCGCCTCATTCTTCCTCCCTGCCCCACGCCAGTGCCAAACCCAGATCTCCCTAGCAACAATGAGAATGAGGATTAATATGATCAGAGCTTTGGGCTTGCCCTAAGAACATGGCTTCAATAATCTCGGAGTCCCTGGGGAGCAAGAAAATGGTTTTGTAGGTCGAGTCAGCATAGTAATTCTTTTTAGGCTTTGCAGGCCACAGAAGGTCTCTGCTGCAGCTCCTCAAACCCACAGACGTAGCATGAACGCAGCCATATGTGACAGCATGTGAGCAAATGGGCAGGGCTGTATTCCAGCACAACTGTGTTTACAAGATTAGGGATGGGCCACATTAGGCCAATGGGCCATAGTTTGCTGAGCCTTCTTCTAGATGGACACCGATAACCCAAATCCTAGTCTCATGAAAGGGGAGAAACCAAAGTAAATAGAAGTGAGTAGGTGGGAAAGATAAAAGGCCAGAGAAGGTTATGATCAGATCAGGAATTTGGGAAGTTGAGATGTGACAGTCTTCAGGGACGACCTATTCTAAGATGTGACTGTTCTACTGAGTGACTGTCCCAAAGGAAGATGGGGGTCATGGCGTCAGGTGGCCTGGAGGCCATGGTGTTGGAGGTAACATCAGCATGAATAATGAAGTATCTGAGAAGGCTTGTAGGGGTGGGTTGAAGAAGTCAACTCCTAGAGCTATCACAGGTGGTATAAGAGTGTCCTGG